CTTTGGATTGAACCCAGTGCTTCATTCACACTGAGCTACATTCCCAGATGGTTTTATTTTTTATTTTGAAACAGAGTCTTGCTAAATTGCCTAGGCTGGCTTTGAACTTGCAGTCCTCCTGCCTTGGCCTCCATCCAGTGTAGCTGGAATTATGGGCATATACCAAACAAGTTTTTTAATGTAAATTTTTTACTGGAAAAAGATGCAGCAGGAACTTTCATAGTTAAAAAGAATTCAATGCTTGATTTCAAAGGCTTCAAGTGATATGCTGATTCTCTTGTTAAGGACTATTGCAGCTGATTATTTTGAAGCAAGTGCTTATTTACCATTCTAAAAAATCCTAGGGCCCTTATGAATTGTACTAAAAATCCATTGTCTGTGCTTTATAAGTGGAACAACAAAGCTTAGATTGTAACACATATGTTTATAACATGGTTTATTGAATACTTTAAGTCCTTTGTAGAGACCTACTCAGGAAAAAAAAAATTTCTTTTCAAAATGGTACTACTAGCCAGGTGTGGTGGCACTTGTCTGTAACCCCAGCACTCAAGAAGTTGAGGCAGGAGGATCATTGCGAGTTCAAGACCCAACTTGGGCCACAAAGTGAGCTCAAGGTCAGTTTGAACTGCATAGTGAGACTATGTCTCAAAAAGACAAAGAAAATAAAATATACTACTCATTGACTATGTACCCAGTCACCTAAGAAGTTAATGTTTTTATTACTGCTAAATAATAACCATTTTGCAGACCAAGGATCAAGGAATAATTTTGACTTTAAAATCTTATTCTGGAATCTTCTCAGATCTTCTTACTAATCCAACCCACTTTCTTTGCTCCTGCAGCCCTCAGACATGTAATATATGCTAAGTCTCATTTAGTACTCTCAATTAAGTGAAAATGAAGTTAGTTCCTGAGTATACCTAGAAAAGGTACATTCTTAGACTTGAGTACACCCCAGAAAAGATCATTAGACAATCTTTCCATCTTCTCTTTATAAGAAGAAGGCAGGATTTCCCTGTTTGTTTGTTGTTGTTGTTGTTTTTTCTTACTTTTTTTTTTTTCCTCATGTGTTTGGTCTGTACTGAGCCAGAGAGAGGGGCTATGGTGACTAATTTTACCAATATATCCACCCATTTTGTTCTTACTGGCTCTTACATGGCTGGGGTAAGTTAGGTCAAATCAACACTCCAAAATATTATGCAAGACAGAAGTCTATCCTTTGGGGAGCCTCCAAATAAGTTGAGGCTTTAGATACACATTTCCAGTTCTTTCCCCAGGGAGAAGTTGAGCACTGGGGGATTTTATCTCCTTACTCTGTACTGAGCCAGGGAAAGAGACTACCTAAACTACCATCTCTGTTCTCAGTGGCCCAAAGTAGATAGATATTCTGGGTTTTGTTGCTGTCCTGAAAGAAGCAAGATCTCCTACTCACATCACACTTCTTTCTCACCTTCTACCTTGAGGCTTTCTCTCCTACTCTACAGCAGATACCTGTACTTCAACCCTGTACATCACCATTTGCAGTGCTGGGATTGTATCCAGGGCCTGGTTCATGCTAGGCTAGTACTCTGCCACTAAGATATACTCTCAGCCCTGCAAACCTGAACCTGTGTAACCCTAGCAATGAAAAGAAGTTGACCTCTCAGGAAACAAGCCCGGATCAAGGGAGATGGAAGCCAGTGGTTAAGTGTTGCCCCTTTCTGTCTCTTAGTAATTAACTCAAAATGTTTCTGCTCTGGCTCTCCACAGGGTGCTAAATAAGATTGAGCCTCACTTGCCTGTAATACTGAATGCTCTATCACTGCTTCTCAAACATTATATAAAATGCTTAAGGTTCTTTTTGAATATGGATTATAATTCTCTTTTTTGTTAACTGAGAATCAAACTCAGAATATAATTCTTAACTCAAGGGAAGACCTAGAAATTCTACAGTTTAAACAAGCAGTGGCTGATTTTGATGCTGTAAATTGTACTTTGAGTAGCAGGAAACTAGAAAATCACACCTTTGTCTTGGCTTTCCTTTTTTTTTTTCTGTTCCACTATCTTGGTGCTTCTGATCCCCTTGGGATCACTTCCCAAAATAAAGTATCTGTGTACAGGACTGTTTTTCAGTCTCACTCTTGGTAGAATCTAGGATTAAGACAAATGCTATTGATGAAAGAATCCTACTTCTGTGAATGTATTCTATAGATATATTCACATGATGTCGTGCACAATTGTAACTCATTATAACATGATGAAACATTGGAAACAATGTAGATGTCTATAAGAGGACTAGTTAAATGACTTGCAATATATCTATATTACGAGCTGTTATGTAGCTATTAAAACAATAAAAGGCCCTCAATATACTAATAGAAATATTTGTGATTTATATGCTAAATGTGAAAGGCAGGGAACGGTATCTGGGCGTATTAATGACTTCACTTAAGTAAATAAGGGGAAATTTTATATATATATATATATATAAAATCAAGGTAAAAATAGGGAAAAATTAATACTTGTTTTGAAAATGTGTAGTTTGGGGGACATGAAAGAGAGGAAGACTGTCCCTAGTAATGTCCTTCATAACCCTGGAATATCTTAGCTGTTGAGTTAAAATTTTATGTTTGATAAGAAGTATTATATTTTTGTTCTTCAAACCTCAAAGTACTCTACCACTGGTTGTTATATATTCAGGTCAATATGAAAGAAGGTTATCATTTGTATCCCTATTTTATTTTTCTAATAAATTCCAAGCTAAATTATGAATTATATTTTAGGGCTGGGGATATAGTTCTGAAGTAGAGGAATTGCACATATCCATATACATATGCATACATGTATACACAGGTTAATTCCCTAGTACAGTTGGGGGGGGCAGTGAAGACAGGAGAAAAAGAGGAAAGAAGACTAACTATGTATTTGTACTTTTTTTTCTTTTGAGGCAAGGTCTTGCTATGCAATTTAGGTTGACCTTGAATTCACTTTGCAGACCAGACTGGCCTCAAACATGCAGCAATCCTCCTGCATTAGCCTCCTGAGAGCTGAGATTACAGGCATGTGCCACCACGCCCAGTTTATATGATGGTATTTTTTTAAAAAATATGATCTCTGGGGATTTAGCTCAGTGGCCTAAGTGCCTGCCCAACAAGCATGAGGTTGTATGTTTGATCCCCAGTACCCCCCCAAAATATATATATATGTATATGTATATGTATATGTATATGTATATGTATATGCATATGTGATGGCCCACAATATTATGTATATAATAAGCACTTTGCAGATATCTGACAAATTTATTTGCATATCCTGTATTTGACTTCACTGCCCAGAGCAGTGCCTACAGTGGGACAAATTTATTTATTGCCTAAAACTCTTAGTAACTACACAATTATTCAGGCCACCACAGGAGGAAAAGTAATGGTACTAAAAAGAATGTTTGAATTATAATAAAGCAGCATTTTTAAAACTCTTAAGTACAGCTGTGGAAGTACATAATGCATTTTAAACAAATATTTACTAAATGAGTAAAATTTTAAGTTTTAGTATTTGAAGATTGAAGTTAGATTATCATAGGAACGCACTGACAAACTGTCAGTCTCTGATCATGTTAAGAGATCAATAAATATTTGCACGTCTGTTATGACCCAGTTCTGTACTAGGCCCTGGGGATAAAACAGCAAAAACAGACATGGTTTCACTCTTGCTGAACATACAGCATGGTGAGGGAGACAGACATTAATCAGTTATGCTCATGTTTGAATAATTACAAATGAATTCAATATTTTAAAGAAAAGAGATAGTTCTTTGATAGAATATGTAAAAAGAATATGATGTAGGTGTAGGGAATGGGAAACAATGCTTTTGTTAAAATTTGAACAATACAAAAGATAACTCAGTCTCTTGCCATATGGTACATAGTAAGTATTTCCATCTGTTATTTCCAGATTTATTAGGTATCTATTGCTGAAGTAACAAACTTCAACTAAATAGCTGCACTTAATTATTTCTTACTATTCTTTAGGTTGATGGGGTGATTCTTTTGGTGGTCTTTTGGAGAGTTCATTCCAATGGCTACATTCAGATGGAGGCTGAGCCTCCCACTTTACATGGTCTTTCTAACCAGGCTTCTTTATTGCAAAGTGGCCCCAGAATGCTAAGAGGGTAAATAACAGAAGCTAGAAGGCTTCTTGAATCTTAGGCATTCAGACTTCTACACCACCACTGTTAGTTAAAGCAAATGAAAAGTCCATAAACAAGGCATGAGGAAATAGATTCTTCCACTTGATTAATGGAGTTGCAAAGATTTTGTGGCCAAGTTTCCCCCTTAATCTAGTACAGTATCTCAGACAACTATATATTCACTAATTTGTTATTTACTTAACATTGTTTTAATAACAGAAATCAAACATGAATAAGATAAAATAATTTATAACTATTTTTTCCTGTCTCTTCAAGCACATGATTTTCATGAGTTGTCATTCCTTTTTCCATAGAAAGCAATATTTGTGAACATTTTTCCTGTAGTATAAAAATGAATAAGTATTAAATTTAAAAATACAAAACATAAAATCTTAGCAATTAGAGAAGAGAAAGAAAGCCACTGGGAATTATATGTGATTTTTATCCTTTCTAAACTTGCAATAATAAATACATCTTATAGTCAGAAAATAATTAAGACCTTGTTAGTATAGCCATGCATTGTGGATGACGTTTGTAGGCCTACAAATTAATTGAGTAGTGAATTAAATTTATAATTTATTTTACAGTGTTGTTCTCAGGTTTACTTTTGCAACATTTTAAAGGTGGCTTATTCCTAGCTCAAAGTTTGCTCCTCTGGATAATTCTGAACAAATGAATAAATTTTATAGCTCTAAGTGATGACAAAGATATTAGGTACCTGGCTTTTGTAAGAAACATCACAAGAAAGCAAAAATAGTTAATTGCTTAAAAAATTATTTTATGAGCAATAATATCATCTAACTTTTCTGTCCAATATTTTTTTAAATTCTAAGAATGATAAGAATGCTGCTTTTCTTCTAATGGAAAGTGACAGGCTAATCATCAGTTTACCCAGGGTAAAGTGGACAGAAACAGCACTGACTATGGCATCTCAACTCCAAGAAGAATGTATTGCATTTATTGTAGAAAACTTCTCCAAGATCATTCAGAGTGAAAATTTTACTCTTCTCCTACAGGTACTGTGTCTTAAAATTGTATACTATATTTAGTCCCATTTTTGTGTTCTGATTTTAATTACATAAGATAAATGCAGGCTGCCTTTGATTAAATTAGTATGATTTAAATAAATTCCATAGCAGATGGCATATTTGCATCAGATTTAGAGTAGTGATGGACAGGATTTTTGGCTCACAAAATAAGGAAGGCAGGAGGGACAGGTTTGGGTATCCTGGCAAGGCACATTGTAGTTCTGGCCAACACTAGCTATCACATTTTACAAACCAAAGTTACAAATGTAATGTTTTAGTAATTATTACAATTATATTCCATGTAGACTTTCCTATCTTATGAGGCACTACTTTCTCTAAAACTAATTATTTCTAGATTTTGTTATCTGGCCTGCATTAGCTCTTAAAAAGAGCTATATATATATTTACATATATGTGTGTGTGTATAGATGCAGATTTTTTAACAGAGGAAAGGAAAACTTGAAATATGATTTCTTTCTTAGTACATATTTACAATACATAATAAATATATTCATCATGGGGAATTGGAAAATGTACATATCACATGTTAATCATTTTAATTCTCCTTTCCTTCCAATTCCTCCCCACTCCTTGCCTCTCCAGATCTCCTTCCCATCTCAGGAGGACTATCTCCTTGTTTCTTATTATGTCTTTTATTTTACTCTTTATGTTACATATACTTTGTATTTCTGACATAAGAGAAACCATACAATATTTAGCTTTTGTGTCTGACTTATTTTACTTAACATTAGTAGTCTCAAGGTACGTATGTATGATTTCTGTTTCCTTTCATATAGTTTTAATGACTATATTGTTGTTATGCCAGACTTTCACATTTATTATACATTTTAACGAATTTTTATTAAATAGCAGTTTCTGTGTTTCATAGTCACAAGCAATGAGCAGCACGGCTGATCTGTTGGACAAAATTTTAAAAGCAGTTGAAGAAAATATTACCACTGAAAATAGTTGCTCTCTTCTTATGGCTCTGGACACATTGTTGAACTCTGAAAGTACAAAGGAAATGGTACTGAATGTAATATAATTCATTAAAACAGTTATATTTGTAGCATTTTAAGGTTTTAAATTGCACCTGTATTTTGGGTGTTGCATTGGTTTCTGAAACTAAGCAGTGAACCTCTAGTGGTGATTTTGGTCTTTACTTTTGTGTGTGTTTGGAATTTTTCATAATAAAAAAATTTTCATACCATTTTGCTTCAAATGGATTTTTTATAAAAGCTTAAAATTTGGCAATTTAGCTCCTTAATTTTAAACATGATTTTGATAGCAGTATTAGTTGATACAGTATTACTCTAGTATTTCTCATCACTACATTAAATTTTCAGATATAAAATGTATATTCAGAATTTTAATCATTAGTGCCTTTTATTTTTATAATATATCCTTAATTCCTTTTTCTCTTCAAAAACTGTATTTTCCTTTTTTTTTTTTTTTTTTTTTTTTATTGGTACTGGGGATTGAACTCACCACCGCCTGCATGCAAGGCAGGTGCTTATGCCGCTGAGCTAAATCCCCAGCCCCAATTAGATTGACAGAAAAGCAATTTAGATACTATATTGTTTTTAAATGTAATAATCCATAATAATATACTAATTATAAATTATTACCATTTTATTGTGTAAGAAAAAATTTTAGCATACTTAATACTATTAGATAGAGTATTTGACCTTGTAATGTCATAGATGATTTTAAAAGACTACGGAATGTATTCATATAAAGGCTATTGATATTTTAAAATAATATTTGGCTGAAAGGGTAAGATTTAGCTTCACATTTGCTATAATATTCTAACTAGTAAACCTTCATAAATAACTTGTACCAAACGATTTTAAAAATGTAAGTGATGACATCATTGATCTAGCTTAGGAGTAAGTAGATTCAGAAAGGAATAATGACTGGTTGCTATGACAATGTGGCTCTCACCAGCTGCTGATTTGTTGCTTGAACACAGGGTTTTACGTGCAAGATCCAGGCTCTCCGTGATAAGCTTTGGATCTTCCTGGTTCAGTCTTTCTATGCTGTTCGACACACAGAAAACTGGAAGCTTATAAGCACAGATGATCAACAGAAAATTCAAGCAGGTATTTTTTTTAAATTCTTATTGTGTGATCTTTGTAACAACAGATATTTGAGGGTGTTTTGATAAGCAGTGAGATTAACATTTGTGTGCTTCTATTCGATAACAGAATGCTAATCAAAACTAGTGACAGTATGTTAGGCAGTTTTAATCATGTTTTTTCTCTTTCTTAGAAAATGAAACTCACTTCCTTTATATGGTCATATTAATTTTTAATCCTCTGTATACTAGCAATAATATTTAGCAAAATTTGCTTAAAAGCATTCTTGTGAAGAGGTGAAAGTATAAAAAAACCCACAGACTAAATTACAAAATGTAATTTTTTCCCCCTTTTAAAGTATATTTTGCCATAAAGCTTTTCCATCTTTCTCTTAAGATACCTTTCTTATGGTTTAGCCTAGATTAGATGGCTTTATTTCACAATTGATTGGTTCAGCGATGTGGTCTGTGCTATTGCGGAGTGTCCCTCAGGAGCTGCAGAGTGGTCTCTGACATTTAATAGGTACCATTTGAAACATTAGCAGTAAACAAAAGATGTGTATTGCTCTGAATGTATGTTTGTTTCAAAAATATCAAAATAAGATTTGAGGGTGTGGAACTAAAAATGGCTTCATGACTATTTTTGGGTTAAAGCAGGTGCTTTAAAAAAAATCCTGGCATGTTCAGCAAGTATACTTTTGAAAACATTCAAAGCTAAGAGACTGTGTTTTATGAAGTAAATATTTTGCACTATAAAACATGGAACCCATATGTGATAAAAAATATTCTTGATAATACATAGGTATTTTGTTTAGTGGAATAATCAAAATGTAACCTGCTCTATCTTGCATTATAAGTGTAACATGATAGTGCAGTTAAATGTGGAGCACCTCTCAAAGAAATTCCATTTTTTAAACAACAAAAATCATGAAATCCTTAAAAATTGGTGTATTTTTGCTTGACTATTTCTGTGCTGATTTTTTGATGATAGTTTACTAAAAAATCTGAACAATGTGAAGAAATAAAATAGAAATAAAACAGCATTCCTTAAGTGTCCTTCAGCTCTCTTCTGATTGGTAGCAAACTTTGCTTTTCTCTATTTTAGATTTCATATTTAAATTGAACTTTAGTTCTTTAACTCCTCAAAGTGCTCATTAAAACTACATGTAAATACACATACATACATATAAATCTAAAATGTCATTGATAATACAGATAATTATCACAAAGAGCTTGTCATTTTATTACATTGCATTAATGTAATATTTTAAAATCTTAAATAGGTTGTATTATAATGAATCCTGACTTACGCTAATTACTGCATTATGAAACTCTGGTCCTGGGTTCTCTTTGTTGTAACATTTCTTATGTTCTATTTGAGTTACTGACCTTGTGAGAAAATTTTATTAATGTCTTACTATATATTATTTATAGATGTTTGATTACTGCAAATAAGTCTTTACAATGTCATTTTGAGGATCTTATTTTGTCTTATAGCACATAGTGCTATAGAATATAGGTTGTGAAAGATTCATGCTAGAGTTACAGATAGTTTAATATATTTTATTAGCTGTTTTTTTAAGTCAAATTTTTTAAAAATGCATCTTAAAGCACCATAACCTACAAAAGAAATAAATTAACTAAATTATATTTCATATAGACCTAACTCATAAAATGAAATCTTATTTAATTCTTAAAAGAATGATGAGTTTGAGGAGTGTTTCTTAATTTTTTTTCAAGAACTCTATTTTTCTCTTTTCTTTCTTCTTTCCTTGTAATTCACCTGAAAACCCAGAAAATACTTTTACTTTCAACAGAACTATAAAGATAGTTCTTAGCTTAAATAATTTGTCATATTTAACTTTTAATAAAATATCACATCAGCCATGATTTCTAATATTCTGAAATTTGGGGAGCTAAGTGAAAACAGTTTAAAAATGCACAGTTTGAGAAAATTCTGAGTTTTTGAAAATATATTAATTTTTTCTTTGAGATTATACATTTCTTATTTGGTAATTTTAAAAACTAAATCATAAAAAGTCATCTAGAGAATAAGATTGAAAATAAGATTCTTTTTTAAGTTTTAAAGTAAAATAAGGAATTGTTTTTGTATACTAGATGAATTTTGTAAAATTTCCATCAAAATATTATAATCTTTTGCTGCTAGCTTTCTATTTTTAGTAATGCTGTAGTAATTTTAGTAATTTAGTAATGCTGTAGTATTTTTAGTAATTCTGTAGTAATGCTTCCCATAAAAATAAATTGCTGTTTTCTCTCTACAGCTGCATTTGACAAAGGTGATGACCGAAGACTCAGCAAAAAGCCTATATTTAGTAGCTCTCAGGTAAACTTTGCAAACTTTATAAGTCCAAATGAGAAAATACAAAACTTTATTATTTTCTGTTTCAAAATATTTTAAACTCCTTTCATTTATTAATTAAAGCTAATTATTGATGGGAATAACTTTGACTCTTTTAAAAGTGAGTATTTAATAATTTTTGTACTACCAGGGATTGCTGAGCTATATTCCTGGTTCTTTTTTATGTTTTTTATTTATTTATTTATTTTGAGATAGGATCTCACTAAGTTTCCTAGGTTGGCCTTGAACTTTTGATCTGCGTCAGCCTCCTCAGAACCTGAAATGTGACAGGCATGTGTCACCATTTCTGGTTGATTCAAATTTTTGTATCGAGCTGGCATGAAAAGTATCTACCTTTTTTGTTTCCTTGAAAATCTTTTTGGCAAGTAATATATTGGAGCTATTCCAATAGGTTAGGAAATTTTTAAAATTCTAGAGCTAATTCAATGTTTATTTTTCTAACACATAATAGTTGGTGTGGGGGGAAAAAAGCAGTTAGTACCAAGAATAGAATTGTGTTTTATTGTAAAAATTATTTGGGGTACTTACAAAGTAGAATAGTAATTGGCAGGGATTGGGGTGAGATCAGGTATAGAAAAGGACAGTTGGTTTGTGTTATGTTGGGTTTTTTGTTTTATTGTGTTGTGTTCGAGACAGGGTCTTGCTACATAACTCAGGCTGGCCTTGAACTCACTATGTGCCGCAGGCTGGCCTTGAACTCATGACCATCCTTCTGACTCAGCCTCCCAAGTCTGGAATTACAGGGGTGCACCACCATGCCAGGCTGGACAGTTTATTTTAAGCACAGTCTCAGTTTTGTAATATGAAAAGATTCTAGAGATCTGTTGTACAACAAAGTACATGTAGTTAACATGACTGCACTATATGCTTTAAAATTTAATATGGTAAATTGTGCCATGTTTTTTTAACCACCCATACTCCTTATTTGATGCATTTGTTATAGTTTAAAATATTTTCTTTTCCAAAAATGTTATTAGTAGTGGTTTAAGTTCCAAGCTAACTTACAGCTGTTCATATAATCAATAATATATTTAAAGTACAAAATTATTCAAAGTACAAAATTATACTTACCTACTATGTGCATTATAATGATAATATGCAAATATATGTTAGTGTTTCAGTTTGGAATACAAAGAATGTACCCATGCTTTCTTTCCTTATCACTCAGTACATAGAAATTAACACACTTCAAGCCATAACTGAATTTTCATGGCTTAAGGCAGGGATCGAACTCTAAATGTCTTATCTGAAAAATTATGAGAAATGGGCCTTTTGCCAGTAAATCTCCTAGCGCTGTTTTCTAGAGTGTGTTTTACAGTATACTAGCTCCATCATATGTCCTTCCAAAGAATAGCTAGCATCAACTAAGTTTAAGAATCACTACATATCATATACTCTTCTTACACCCTGGTAATGAAAAGTAAACCTTAAAAGGGCTGAGAAACACTACAATAAAAAAAAAAAACACTTCATATTATTTCACCCCAAATTTCTAATTGTTAAACTATGGAACATCACTATGCTCTCTCTCTACCTATTTAAAGTATTATTTCATACAATTCCCTATTTCCTCTAGAAGTGGTACCTTAGGACATTTTTAAAAATGTGCTTAATTCACTGTAATCTCTGTGTTTGTGAGTTTGTGTGTGTGTGTGCGCGCACATATGTGTGTTTTAAAAATTAGCATACCTACCTTCCTTTCCCCTGTGATCAACTAGGTCTTTCCTTCTTCCTTGCCTCACAAGAAAATAGGACAAATTCTCATTGTTCTTCCTAAATTCCTGACTCAAAGATTTTCTAAGTGCTTTTCAATTAAAAGGATTCAGGATAATAAGTTTCCCAAGGGAGGCTGTGGTATACAGAAATGGATACTGGATATAAAATGAAAAGAAGTCAAATCTCAGCTTCACATTTCTTATCTGTTAAGAGTCCTAGAACACGGGGCTGGGGATATATCTCAGTGACACAGTGCCTGCCTGGTAAGCATGAAACCTTGAGTTCAATTGCTGGTACCTTGTCACTCTTCCCCCGGAAAAAAAGAACCCTAGAACACAGTTCTGAAGAAGATCATTCTCCAGTCTACAAACATAAATAATCTAAAGTCCAGAGATGTTAATAACTTGTTAAATATTCTGGACCCACTAGAGCCAAATCTAGGACAATAATTTAATAATTCCTTTAACACCTCTTTTCCTCAGTTTAGCTGTTTTGATTTTTATTAATAAATAATTTTATCTACATGTTATCTGCATTCACATTTAACTTAGAAAATTTTAATATAACCGTAGAAGCTTTTCATGTTGAAAATAATTAGACTTTGAACTGTGTATCAGTTATGTGCTCAGTTTTACCGACAATCTATCAGCATCTCCTCAAGTCCATGGTATATAATGAGCAGAGTGCCAAGGATTTTGGATAGAAAAGGTACCTCATACCTCTATATTTTCATGTAGCTTCACAAAGGAAAAAAAAGCATTTATATATTTACAAACAGGCAATATGGTCTTGGAACTTTTTATTCAAAAATTCCTACCAAGTTTTAGAAAAAGTCTTCAATCAATATTGGGTCTAAAAAAGATGATAATAAAGTAGTTGCAATTGCCTTCTGTATTCTTCTGTTTTTCTCCATTATTAGATAGCTAGTTTTGGACTACAATCTTGTTCTTTGAAAACCTAGTCTCTGCAAACGTTAATCCATTGTGTTTCCTAGGAGTATTGTTGTTGTCATCGTTGTTGTTGTTTAGCTTTGTTTTGTTTAATGAGGACTCCAAGAAATAAACTATCTTACCATAGAGGATTAATTCTTTAAAGGTAAAATTTCTGATACTTGAGATAGGCTGAAGAGAGAACTCTGGATGGAAATCTTTTTAATATCCTTCAGATTATACCATTTAGATGACTACCTCCTTGAGGCAGTAGATTATGAACACAAGTCCTAATTCTGTCCTTTAATAGTATGTGATCTACACGTGTTCTTTAATCCTCAGTTTCTTGCATAGAAAGGTAATAGCTAAAGGAGTGATTATAGGATTATTGTTGGGACTAAGTGAAATAATACATGAAAATGGTTTAGCATGGAATCGAAATGGGTCCTTAAAAATTCTTGGATATTGTTATGTATTCAGACATTGTGAACTTTTAGGTTTTAATCTCTACTATAACTTCATAAATTAAACATTTAATGCTGTATTTCAGACTTGATTAAAATATATGATCCAAGATGCAAAGTTTTGATCAAAATGATCAAAGACAGTTTAATTTTAATTACTTTAAATCATAATATGAACTTTGCTATTTTTTCTTTTGAAAATCTGGCTCACTTAAGCATTATATGGCAAAATTTCAAGGCAAGTTAAAAATTATTTTTTCTTTTTTATAGCAAAGGAGACATATTTCTGGCTCTGGTGTTATAAAAAACAAATCTTGGAGAGAAAATAACAAGAAAGAGTGTTGGAGTTATCTCTCTACTAATCAAAAGATGAAATCTGATGGATTAGGAGCATCTGGACATTCATCAAATGCTAATAGAAATAGTATAAATAAAACTTTAAAGCATGATGATTTAAAGGAAAAGGATGGTACAAAAATAGCATCTAAGATTACAAAAGGATTGAAAACTGGGGAAAAAAATATTTCTGGAAATCCCAAAACTGTAATAAAGCCCAAAACAGAAAATCATGATAATGCAAAGTTGGAAAACTTGTCATCTAAAGTTTTGGAAAGAACAGCAACATCAGTTGGACAAAAAAATTCATTAAATGGAAAAGGAGTGAGAAATCAGGAAGGGCAAGTTACAGGTGCCAGACCCAAGGTACTCACTGGGAACCTAAATGTGCAACCCAAGGCAAAGCCTCCCAAAAAAGTGACAGGGAAAGATTCTCCATGCCTCAGCATCGCAGGAGCCTCCAGCAGATCTACGAATTCAAGTGTGGAATTACTGACTTCCACTGGATCTCTGAATGAACCAAAACAAAATGGATCAATAGGAGAAGACAAGTCTTCTGGTCAGAAGCTATCCTTTCGTGATTCTCCAGGACAGACGGTGAAAAACAGTGTAGATGGTGTCAAAACTTCCTCTGTAGGTGGGTTTTAGCACTCTGATTTTTGCAATTTAGGACTGAACCTAAAGCCTCATACATGCTAGGCACGTGCTCTACTATTGACCTATACCCCTACCTCTACACATGCTCCTTCCTGACAGTTTAAGTTCCTAGAAAGCATGATTCTTGGAGACTTCTTTCTTTTTAAATGTTAAAAAAATGTTTATTATATTTATTTATGCAAAATGTGGGAAAACAGTACTACCGACTTTAACACTTAATTTTTTTATAGTGTAAATTTACAGTGAATTGTTACATATTTAATGTATTCTGTGTCATGACTGACTTTTTCTTAATTTATAGCAGTAAAATCTCGGCCTGTTTCAAGAGTTGCCAATGGGACTTCCAATAAAAAAAGCATTAATGAACAAGTCACTACTGTAAATAATAGGTAAGTCTTCATTGTTTTATCTATATGTTAACTTTGTCTGAAAATTACAGTAAGTCCCTGATTTATAAATGAGTTCCATTCCAGGAGAACTTGTTCAAAAGTCGAATTTGTTCCTATTCCATCAAAGTGAGAATTATATAGTATACTTATGAATCTTATGCATGTACCTGTGAAAGTTTGCAATTAGAATGCTCATAAGTCAGGGACTTACCGTATTTACTAACTTCTAGCTAAACACTGCTGAGATATTTTTGTGAAGAAATCTAATGTATTTATACATCATTTTAAAATGATATTTTAAAATTATTTCTTCTTTTTCTTCCTCTTCTCTCCTTCTCCTTCTCCTTCTTCTTTCCCTTCTTTTTGAGACAGAGTCTTGCTTTGTAGTTCAGATTGGCTTATGTACCTCAGCCTGCCCTCAAATACATGGTGATCTGGTTGCCTCAGCCTCCCAAGTGCTGGGATTACAGGCATGTGCTAGTACACCTGGCTTTAAAATGATTTTCTTATTCAAAGGTCTATGCAAAATGATGATTAATGTAGTAAATTAAAAGACTGTCTTCATTTACATTTATGTCACATAATTATGCATTGCTTTATCATACTTGGCTTATATCTTTTTTTTTCTTGGCCTCTACTCTTGAAACTGAACATATGGTTTCTCTATTTTCAGAAAAGATGTTTTTTATTTCTTGAGAAAAAATATTTCATATATAGATTTTTTAAATGTTGATGTTTTGGAATCTTACTGTAATATTGAACACAAAACATTTTTCTTAGTGCCCTAAAGAAGGTCAGTGGCAAAAGATATAGTGATCCAGTACCACAGGCAATTTTGAAGAAAAGAGGTAATGGCAATGGACAGCAAAGGACAAAGAGTGCCACATCTAATCTTGCCAAAACTCAAGGTAAGCCAAAATAGTCCTGGGTATCATGAGTGTTATTTTCTTATGTAAGTTGGTTAACCAAACTGACCTGAAACTTAAGTAGCAAATGAAAAAAACATAATACTTTTTAAAATTTTACTTTATTCACATATTGGAGATGAAAATTTATACTTTTAGATAAATATTTTGGTGTTTAGGGAGTTTTATTGTCCCTTGTGCTAGAAATAATTAAGGGAGCCACTAATTTACTTGCATTTTAGGTCCTTTTATAGATAATATGCTCATGTTTCTTGATTGATAATTCTAGGAATCACATCTAAAAACCCATCATTAAATGATTTTTAAAATAATGATATGAGGGGTGTGATGTGACTCAGTGATACAGCAATTGTCTAGCATGCATAAGACCCTAGATTCAATCCCCATCACTGCAAAATAAATAAATAGTCAAGTTGTAAGAAGGGAAAGAATTTTCCCTTCAGAATCTGCTATGTTCACTGTCTTTCAGTGTTCTGAGAGTACTAATTAGAGTACAAAAGTACTCTAATAATATCAAAATTAATTTTTCTTTATTCATTAAGCATTCACATATGTAAGAGCAGTTTGTATAATCCTAAAAATAATGTTTTTTATATTATGAAATTAATATTAAAAGCTAATTAAAAATATGGCAGAGAAAAATTATTCATATCCTAGTAAGAAAAATTTATCAGGCTAAGGATGTAGCTCAGTGGCACAGCACCTGCCTGGCAAGCACAAGGTCCTGTACCAAAAGATATCATACATAAGTATTTGATAGGGCTTATCTCAGTAGTAGAGTACTTGCCTAATATGCATGGGGTCCTAGGTTCAGTTTCCAGCACTGAAAAAAAATTAATTCTATTTGGCAGACTTGAATACCCAAAATATCTCTAAGACTTTAAGAAGCGTGAACAAATGAATTCCCAAAATTATTTCTTGAGAAAAAATATTTTCTCAATTAATTAGCAGTTCAACTTTGTTGAACTGTAATTAGCAGTTCTGGTTTCCAGTACAGATCTAAGTGATTCATGATTATAAGAAGTAAAATGGTTTTATTTATGTTTGAATAAAATAACTAAAAATTTCAACTACTTTATATTTTTCTATTTAGTTTGATTCTCCTTTTTAGCTGTGTAGAACACAGTCTTCACACACCCCCCCCCAGAAAAAAAAAGAGACTTCAAGTGAAGAGCATTCTTCCTTCTTTGGTATAAGAAAAACAGATTTTTCACTCTCATGTATTTATGCAAATTCAGTTTTGACATGAAGATCAAAGCCCTTTACTTGGGAAAGACAGATCCTATTCTAATAAATTTTACGAAGACCCTGGAATAAGAAGAAGGGAGAAAGAGAGGGAAATGGGGTTTTGGTGTTGGAAATGAAACTCAGTACCTCATAAATTTTAGATGAGAGCTCTACCATTGAACTATACCCCTAATGTCCCTCTATAGTTTAATCATTTTATCATGTCACTGACTACTAAACTTTCATTGTTCATTTGATCATCAGTGTTACCCTTTCGTTTTTAAATTGATTTTATTTTTCTAAAATAATTTAAAAGATACTGAATTCCTCTCAAAATTGGAGAGTACATTTCTGAACTTTCTTTTCTTAGGATCCCAAGGAGAGTCACCACATTCAGTAAAATCTTCAGTCTCTTCAAGACAGTCAGGTGAAAATATGACAAAGTTGAACCACAGTATAACTGCAGATAAACAAACATCTAAGAGAAAAATTGTTAAGCCAGGACACATAAATACTACTAAGGCTAATGCAAAAATGGTGTCCATACCTAAAAACCTAAATCAACCAAACACAGATGAAACTCTGAATAATAAAGATTCAAAACAAAAAATGTTTCCTGGACATGTTATACCAAAAACTCAGTCTTCTCAAAAACATTTAAAAAGTGAAACATCTGTTCTCCAAAAAAGTATCCTCCATGCTGTACATGATAACAACAACAAAGACAATGTTTCTGAACCAAAACCTCACAGATGTCTAATTAATCTCACATCTGAAATCAGTGGTACCAGAGCATTCCAGTCATCATGCAGACCTGACCCACAAGAGCTATTAAGCAGTCAAGAAAAAGATAAATTGGTGTTAGAATGCCAGAATATTTCAAAGATGGATATATCAAGAAAACATGAACTGAATGTAAAACAGATTTGCTCAGATAAAAATGAATCAAAATGTCCTAGTCACAAAGACATGAATCATTGCAATACAACTAAAACATACAGTTATTCTGATGAGAGTGATGTAGATTCAAAAATTTATAGTTTTGCTGCTCTAAAATCCACAGTTTCAAATACAAATGAAAACTCCTTAAACTCTAATCTAATTTCTGATTTAGACTCAACAAATGTAAAGCAAATTCATTTAATATCAGATAAAGAGAAACAAACAGGGAGAAAAGACACTAACAAAAAATCAAACATGGAATGTATGAAAGAAGCTTTATCTTGTATTCCTGAAAGGACAAATGGTACCTTAAATTTTATTCAAGATGACAGAAAATCTAAAGTTCATGTAGAAGAACCGACAATTCCTAGTCAATTGTTTGATGACTGTGTTATAAAGGAAGGTAAACATGCTGTCACTGATTCAGATGTTTCCTCCAAATGTTTTTTGAAACAACTGTCAGAAAAAACGTTTCCTAAAAATATGGAAAAGTCAGAAACTCCAGAGAACCATGAAACTCTAGAAGTTCCATTCACAGGTCACTGGAATTTGAATACCAGTATGCTGCCTCAAAGAGAGAGTCCTGAATCTGACACTGGCAGTGCTACCACATCCTCTGATGACATAAAACCTAGATCTGAAGACTATGATGCTGGAGGGTCTCAGGATGATGATGGGTCAAATGATAGAGGTATTTCTAAATGTGGCACTATGCTGTGCCATGACTTTCTTGGAAGAAGTAGCAGTGATACCAGTACTCCTGAAGAATTAAAAATATATGATAGTAATTTAAGAATTGAAGTAAAACTGAAAAAGCAAAGTAATAATGATCTTTTCCAAGTTAACTCAACAAGTGATGATGAAATTCCTAGGAAAAGGCCAGAAATTTGGTCTCGATCTACAGTAGTCCACACTAGGGAAAGAGAAAATATTCCACGAGGCACTATCCAATTTACTCAGGAAATAGATCAGGTTTCTTCCTCAGCAGATGAAACAGAAGATGAAAGATCTGAAGCTGACAATGTTGTGGAAAATTTCTCTATAGTTAATCCATCTCCTCAGCAGTTTCAGGGAATAATTAACCTAGCTTTTGAAGATGGAACCGAAAATGAAAGTCGTGATTTTTCTGCAACTAAAAAGTTTAAAAGATCAGTTTTACTTTCAGTTGATGAGTGTGAAGAACTGGGATCTGATGAAGGGGAAGTTCATATTCCCTTTCAGCCTTCTATAGATTCTTTTTCACCTTCTGATGTTTTTGACGGTGTTTCTCATGAATATCATGAAAAGAACTATTATCCCAGATTCTCACAAGAAAGTGAAGATAGTATTTTAAAATGTAAAGAACAAGATAAAGGCAATAGTACAAACAAAATTGAAAACACTTTCTTGGATCTTAGTAGCACTGACTCTTCAAGAAAAGATAAACAGAGTACTTCAGCCACAGACAAAAAGAATACTTTAGATGTCCTATCCAAAGGAGACAGACAGCTTTTTCTAGAAGATAAAAAGGAACACAGTGGAAGAGATATGGATAATGACTTTCAACAACATAGCAAATTCATGGATAGTGATACAAAATCTCAAGAAAGACCATGTCATTTGGCGCTTCATCAAAGAGAACCCCATTCTGACATACCAAAGAATACCTCTGCAAAATCTCTAGACTCCTCTCAGAGTCACATTCTGCCTCAGGAAGGTCAAGTGAAAGAAAGCCATTCTACAGATACTGAAAAAGCTAATATTGCTTTATCTGCAGGTAATGTACAGAAATAGAAATGCTAAATACATAAGAAAATACATTTATAGAATTTTAAAGTTGTATGTAATCCTGAATGTTATATTTTAGGTAGGTAAAATAATTACTTAAACAACGGTATCAAATTTAGATAAATATTAAATTTCTTAATAATATGAAAAGTAGCTAATTATTCTTTATTGTTTTCTTAAAATCCTAGTAAAAATTACTATCTAGTGAAAATTTTGGTTTATTAGAGTTAACCTACTAGGAGAATTTACATGAAAGAACAAAGAGAAAACCTTTGTTATTATTTAGTTATTTATGTTTAGTTTAACATAATTCTTGACTATTAGAAATTTTATTATACATTGGGTATTATTTATGAACTTAATATATTAATGGTATATCTAAGAGGGCTGTGCAATAACTATAGTAATATGTAACTAAAAGCACTGAACTATTTTAACAACTAGATATTACAATTTATATACATTTTACAGAGATTAAACCTTCAGGATCAATATAATTGTATTCTAAATTTTTCAAGTAAAAAATTAAATTTCCTAAAAGAGATTATATTTAGAGGTAATGATAATATATGAAAAAGCCCAGGTTTACTTCAGATGCTTACATGGTTTTCTGTCTAATTGTTTTGTGTTTTGTCTTCCTTATTATAATAATTCAGATGAAGAACCCACATTTGAAATACGCAGCAGTAGCTGACTGAGCAACTATTGTGTTTTATAACTAAGATATTGATCATAAATCCCTATTCAGCAAACTCATAAGAATAGATCTTTAAAAGTTGTACTTTTTGTTTGTTTGTCCTTGCTTGCATCCTCCTTTGCATGTGCAATATAGGAATAAGCATTTAGACAAAATGTATTTCCCCCTTTCAAAATTGACTTACTTTAGAAGTTACCATCAAATTACTTTTGTTTTCTCCTTAAGTTTCTATTGTAGTGATTAGATATATGTGTACCTTCTATGTTTATGTTAAATATTTATGTTATTTTCTGTATCATAAGCTTTCAAATTAAAGTATGGAGAATTATTGTTAGTTGCCTATGTTAATTTTGCTGCTAAATAATTACCCTTGAATATTTTTAATATAGAAAAAGAAATGCCTCAAAATTTTGTCAATTTTGTATAAATATTATTTTTTCCATTTTGTGGTGTGTTTTTTTTTTTGAGGGGGCTATAATTATTGTATTACTATTGTTCTACAAAACTCTGAGGGGTTACCGACATGTGCAATTTTTACATTGTATAGTATTATGAATTATTTCAGGAGACATAGATGATTGTGACACACTGGCACAAACCTGCATGTATGACCATCGGCCTTCAAAAACCCTCTCTCCAATATATGAGATGGATATAACAGAAGCAATTGAGCAGAAAATGGAATCTGAAACACATGTAACAGATACAGATTTTGAAGATGATCAACATTTTGCAAAACAAGATTGGACACTACTAAAGCAACTGCTCTCTGAACAGGATTCAAACTTAAATGTTACAAATTCTCTTCCTGAAGACCTAAATTTGGCACAGTATTTAATCAATCAAACACTCCTTTTAGCACGAGATGGCTCAAAACCTCAGGGTGTAGCACATGTTGACATTTCGAACAGATGGAGTGAACTATCATCTCCACTTGATAATTCCTCAACAAGTATTACCATGGCTAGTTTTTCCTCTGAAGATTGTTCACCTCAAGGAGAATGGACAATTCTGGAGCTGGAAACACAGCATTAAAAGTCTTAACGATTTGGAAAATTTAAACTGTGCCATCCCTTTATTTTTTGATGTCCACATTATATCTAAATTATAATTCCATTAGATAGATATAGACTGTCCTTACACTGAGGGAGTTTTCCAATTTATTGAGGTTTATTAATATAATATCACATGTAGAAAAAAGTGTTTTTCTAAAGTTTTTGAGCATGTTTTCTATAATTATTAGAAAAATTAGAAGATTCATAAGGAAACTCTTGCCTCAGTTTTCCTTTCCTACCTGATCCTATTTTTCAGAATTTAAAGTAGGAATGCACAAGTGGATCATTCCCTTTATCCTTTTTGGCTCTGCATATGGTACCATAGTAATTTAACAATAAAAAACTTAGTATGCGTGTGTCTGTTTATGTAAAGTTAATATTTGAATATTATTCACACTCAGGTTGGGATGGTTTACATTGTAACTGAGTGTTGGGGTAAAAAAAGAAAGCTCAACTTTCTCAATAGTTCAGATTCGGGAGATTGTGAGTCAAGTGTGCCTCACATTTCAACTGTATTATAAAAGGGGCAAAAGAAAGGGAAATACAGTGTCTTGCATCTCCTTTTTGGGATCTATACAGAGAGAAACATTTGTCTTTGTTCAGAGGCAGTAAGAAAACTTTTTCTGTCTTACCTAAATAGATTGCCTTAAGCAGTCTTCATTTTACATTTCATGCTAGGAACTGTGCCTACAATAAAGTAGCAGGAGTTTCATATTAATAACTAAATGTTAATAGGAAAATGAGTACATGGGGCAACTGGGAGGTTACTGATATTTAATTCTCTGTAGATATATATATATTCTCTTTCTTGGTGTGTTTACTTCAGCTCTTTTCTATGAACCATGCTTTTACCATTGTTTGCTCTGAAACTTATTTGGACTAGTGCTGCATCATTGAACAAACTTTAAAAAGTAATTGCTAACATTATTTAGTATTTAAATGTTAGACATTATGTGCTTTAAATATGCATTAACACGTTTAGTTCTTACAACAATTCTATGCATGAGTGGAAATTTGCTTGGTAATAAAGCAGTCCAGATATGATAGCACGTTAAGAACCAGTGACTGGGATAGGCATTAAGGATGGGAAAAAAGAATATGGGAACCAGGGTTCAAAAACTAAGCTGGAGCTGGATTCTGAAAATTACTGAACACTATCTTCAAAGTGTTTACATATTCTAAGCCTTGGATTTAGTGGGCAGTATATTTTCTCTCATTATGCATGACTTACTTAGTTTTAACTCTCAGTAGAAAATGTCTGTGTTCTTGGAAAATAACCACCTACATATCACAAGGAGTAATCAAAGTTGTTTTTTTAGTATGTAGGTAACATGACTGAGTGTATTTTAGAAAAACAATTTTAAGCAGTCATGTAGATGCCCTGGTTTGGAGAAGTGCTCAAACCCGTTAAGATATAATCACAATAATTTTGTCAGCTTTAGAAATGGGAAATGGAGAAGGATTTGGTAACAAAGACATTAGGTAGGTTGAAATTTTTTGGAATTGATGAATGATCAGATGGTGAGAAAAGATGTAAAAGACATTTAAAGTTTCTGTCAGAAATACCATTGTACACATTGAGGGTGTGATCTATTCCAAGAACTTTGCTTGGACTAAGAATAAAAAGCATAGTACCTTGTCCTTGAGTTCTCATTATAGTAAGCAAGAGAGATGTTAAATGTCACAATAAAGATCTGTGCAAAGTAACTGATGTATAAAGGAAGTGGTAGAAGAGTGTTGCAATAAGCTTCCATACTCTTTAGTAATTAATTGGAATTCACACAATAGTAAGAGACACTCTTGGCAGAAAAAGAGCTCAGATACTAATTCTAGTTGTTCCATAAGGCTACAAAGAAGGGAATGAACGGGAAGGTCAAGAGTTGAAGCTGGACAAGGAAGGAACATGATCAGATTTCCTTTGTACAAAGATCTCTCCAGCAGCACTGTGTAAGAGAGTGGGGCAGATAATGAGAAGGCAGGGAGGGTAATGAAGAGGTTTTTACAGTAATCAAAGCTTGAATAGGGCAGTGGCAGTGGAGACAAAGAGTGGAAACATCTGAGAGATGGAATTGAAAAAACAGGACTGTTCACATGTGTGAGACAAACATGATAACTGCCTCACTACAGAAACCCGCAGTACTATTCATATGTGGCAATGAAAGAACAGAGTCCTCTTAACAAATTTAGGTTTCTGGCTAGGCATCCTTGGTGTTTGATGATGTCATTAACCAAAAACAAGCAAGCATAAGAGTGAAGATGAGTTTAATTAGGACATACTGAATTTGGAATGCCTGCAGGACATTCAGGGGGCTGAGGACAAAATGCTGAATAGTCAGAAAAGCCTTTCAAGGAGACTGAAAAAGAAGTATTCTGAAATAGAAGTAGGAGGCCAGGGTAAAGAGAAGAGAGTAATAAATGGTTAACCTTGCTACTAATCAAAGGAGAGAAAGTCAAAGTCTAGATCCAGCTTTGACCTATCAAATTCATGTGAATTTTTGAAGATTTCTTTTAAATCAGTGTTAGCAAGAGAATGAGATCTTCCTATGCTGCTGTGCAACTGCAAAGTTACCTTTCAGATAAATAATTAGATAATTCTATATCAAGAGTGTTCATAACTTCATATTCTTAACATAATCATTTCTTGGGATCTAACATTAAATAAGGAAAGTCTCAAGGTTTGTTGTCAGTGTACTGGAGCTCTAGATATATTAGTGAAAACAAAAACAGGTAAATGTCAACAGTAGAAAAAAAACTTTTACATCTATATAATTCATTATGCAATATTTAAAATAGTTTCCAAAAATCTGTTTAGTAACAGGAAAATACTTAGAAGAAAGAAGTCCAGATTGTATTTTTACATGTATTGTGTTCCAAATTTTTGTGCAGGAATATTTCAGATTACTCTTTTAGCAAATCTCAATTATAGTGGTACAAATGTCACCAAATACATTACCTCTCCAAAATTTATCTATCCTGCATTAGTTCCCTTTGACCAACATCTTCCTATTTCCCCAGTTACTGACAGCTGCTGTTCTATTATCTACTTCTTGGTACTGGGAATTGAATTCAGGACCTTGCACTTGCCGGGGAGGCCCTTATGCTTCTGGGCTATATATCCCTCGCCCCTTTATTATCTACTACTATGAGTTTGATTTTTTTTAGATTCCATTTGTCTTTTTGAGCCTGGCTTCATTTAATATAATGTTTTCCAGTTTATCAATATCACCAAGTATAGGATATCCTTTTTTAAAGACTGGCTAATATTCCATTTTATACACATGATGTTATCTTTATCCACTATCTATTGGACACTTTATGTTGAATCCCATATCTTAGCTATTGTAATTAATAATATAGTAGGCATGGTGCACTTTGAGATACTGATTTTATTTCCTTCAGCTATGTAGTATTCCCAGAAGTAGAATAACTGGATCATATGGTGGTTCTATTTCTTTGAGAAACCACCATCTTTTCCATAATACATATAGCAGTTTACATTCCCACCAGACATATACAAGAACTACTCTTTCAATATATCATTGTTAACATTTGTTGCTGTTTTTGTTGACATCCATTTTAACAAGACCAAGGTGATTTCTGATGGTTTTAATTTGTATAACCCTGATAATTAGTGATGTTGAGCACTTTTCATATGTACCTTTTGGCTATTTAAAGACTTTTGAGAGTCTTTTGCCTATTTTATAATCAGGTTACTTTTTTTCTTGCTGTTGAGTTCCTGACATATTTTGAATGTTAACTCTTTATCAGATATATGGATTGCAGATATATTCTTCTGTTCTGTAAGTTGTCTCTTCACTCTGCTGATTGCTTCCTTTGCTGTACAGAGACCTTTTAGTTTGATGAAATCCCATTTTCCTACTTTTTTGTTTTTGGTCCCTTGGGGGTTCCCGTTTTTTAAAAAAATGTTGCCTAGATCAACATCAAGAAGCTTTTTCCCTGTTTCCATCTAGTAAATACATAGCTTCAAGTCTCACGTTTAACACCATAATCCATTATGAGTTGATTTGTGCATATGAAATGAATGATGAGACAGACTGTCTTTTCCCTGTTGTGTGTGATTTTTTTATGCCGTTGGTGAAGATTAGTTGACGACAAATGTGCAGATTTATTTTGAGGTTCTCTATATTCTATTACATTGGTGTGTTTTGTGCCAGAGTCAATGCTATTTTGATTACTAAAGCTTTGTAGTATATTTTATAGTGTATGTTGAGATCAGGTAGTATGATATCTCCAGCTTTGTTCTTTATTCTCAAGGGTTTTTCTTATGGTTTTATGCAAATTTTAGGATTTTTTATTTCTGTGAAAAAATGTCATTTGAATTTTAATAGAGATTGCATTTTATCTGTAGCTTGATTGAATTATGTAAAAATGTTAATGGTAGTTGTGGTTCAGGGAAGATTACAAGTTTTTAAAATTTTAGGCTATCCTGGCTTTCCTCACAATAGTCCATCCTACTTTGTTCACTGCGTTCTTTTATCTTGCTTTTACCTCTTGTACTCAGCCCAGAGTCACTCTGCAGAGCCAGTTTCAGTCTCACTCTTTACTTTAACTTTTTTTTTTTTTAATCTTTTTGAGACCGAGTTTTCACTATACAGGTCAGGCTGGCCTTGAACTCACTTATAGCCCAAGCTGGCCTTGAATTTTTAAGCAATCCTTTTGGCCTCAGCCTCACAAGTGCTGGGATTACAGGTGTGTACCACCATACCCAGCCTCACTTTTACTCTTTCAAATAAACTTTGCCACTACTTTAAAAATAGTTGTAATATCCATATTTATTATATTATCTACAGTACAGAAAAGTAAGTTGATTTGTTTTAAAGTAAATCGGGTAAAGAGTGTCAAATGCTATTTGAGATGTCGAGTCACAAATCTATACTATTCCATTAAACTTGAAAGTTAAGATTTAATTTATGTTTTTTGTTAGTTTATGATTATTAAAGAGTATAGGGTAAAAATGAGATGTGAGTTGAAAGGTGAACAGAAAGTAAAGCAGTACAACTTATTCTTTTAAGGAGCTTTTAATGAGTAGGAAACTATGAGCCTGAAGATACTGTTCAATTGCTTGTTTTTTATTTTGAGACAGGGCCTTATATGCCCAGCCTGACTTTTTTTTTTTTTTTGTCTTTTTCCTTTTTATCGGTACCGGGGATCAAACTCACGACTGCCTGCTTGCAAGGCAGGTGCCCCTGCCCAGCCTGACTTTATATTCCATAATACTTTTGCCTCTACCTCCCTAGTAACTAGAACTCCAGATGCAAGCCACCAGGCCTGCCTCTGCTAGTTAACAGCGCTTTTTTTTTTTTAATTGTTTCAGCACATTGAAAATAAGGAGTTG